TTATATGTTGTTAGACAATCTCAGCTATTTTCCAATCAGATAGAACATAGTGGATAGTAAAACTTATGTATATTAGCTACCAGAGTTTGGTTATTGAATCAAAATTAACAAAGCTTACAAGTTAGTTTTTTACTCATCATATGTATATATCAAACAATTACATTGTTAAATTTCTTGATTAGTCGTTGATTAAAAAGGTTTATCGAATATCGACTGATCAAAAAAATCAATCTTGATTTAGTGGATTAATAATTGTACATTTTAGATTACAAAAGCTGACATTGAAATAAGTCTTTTTCAAAATTTTGTATATATTACACTCCTAAGATTATTATAATTTGATATCATAAATCATCTATAAAATGCAAATCTTATCTGTGAATCTACAACCGAAATTTTTAGCTAGTAGATTTAAAATTTTCAAAAGAATAAAATTATTTCTCAAAATAAATTTTGCATAGAAAAAAAGTTAAATTTTTTTTTTTGACGTGAAAAATAAAAAGTTATTAAACCCCCAAAAACAAAGTTGTCAAAGACAAAGGACAATTTTTTTTTTTTTATGTAAACCGTTAAAGAGTTATTTTTTCTTCTTTGGTCTCATTTATTCGCATTTGCCTATTTGGCAATTGAGTGAAGTTGCAAAGGGAGGAGGAGACCCAAAGTTGCTTCTTCTCCGGTGAAAACAGGTATGAATCGATTCCTCTCTGAAAAATGTTTGATTTTTCGATTCGATTGTTACAAAAAGTCAATAACTTGGTAGAGATAAGATCGAGAATCTCCTTAACCGATTATATCATAGGTTGATTAGTGATTTGGTTATGGAGTCGCTTGGAGGAGAGGAACTCGATCTATAGAAATTTTGAAAATCCATTACTGTTTAGCCTATCTCATGGACTGTTCATCTATAGAAATTTCGAAGATCCATTCTTAAATCATTGATTTTGACTTGAGTTGGGAGAGAAATATAGAGTAGGAGTTGCATCTTGACTTATCCTTTAGTTAAATTTCAGATTTGTATTGTGTTATGAGTTGTGCAATTACTTGTAAAAAAAAGAGAACTTTATCATTTTTGTTTGTTTCCTTGGGGCAATTTGCTTCCAAGATTTTGCAGATTTTGTTTCATTTGAGAGCTGAGATCAAAAGGTTTTACCACTAAGAAGGTGTCATGGCTTCCAAGATCACCCCGCAGCAGCCGAACCTAGTAATGAAGTCCGAGCAAGATCTGGAACAGAATTCGGATCAGAAGAAAGGAAATGGTCCAGAAGATTCAATCAAACAGATTCAAAAGATTGTGGAATCTTTGCATACAATTTTTCCACTTCAGCAGCCAGCAAAACTAACGCAGAGTCAGAGCACTGTTGTTCTTCCTACTCAGAGTAACCCTCCGCCTCTGATCACAGCAACAAGTGCCCCAATTCCTTTGTCAAAAAATGAAGAATCCGAGAATTCGATTCATAGGCTAAAACGTAATCTCTTTCTGCTAGAGAAAGATGTGGAGAAGGTTCGAGAACTTAACAATGACGTTGCAGATGAGGTGGAGAAACATATTATTCCACTTGCTAAACTGCTTAAAAAAGTGGAAGACCAAGCCGCCGAGGCTACGCTGGCCAAACGTAAGCTGACCAAAGGTATGAAGAAAGACTTGGAGGATATCAACAAGAAGATCTTTAAGTTGATGTGTGAGGTCCCTTTGTTGCCCAACAAACGCAGAAAGCCGGGAGGTTTAGATTCTGACGCTGGCGATGGGGATAATAATGGCAAAGGTATTTTTTGCTTGCACGGCATCCATGCAAATGATGAAGATCTCAAAACACGTGCGGTTTTCAGATATGTAGAAGAAGAATTGAAGAAGCTTACTGATACTCCACTCCTCCAGATCTGTCTGCTGAGCTTTGCTGTGTTCCCGGAGAATCAAGAGGTGAACAGAACGATGCTGATGTATTGGTGGATCGGGGAGAACATTATCCCTGATATAGAAGCCGACGATGCCGTGAAGAAGATTCTTAAAGATTTCACCAGGGAGATTCTGCCTGATGAATTCCGTCCACCTGAAGATGGCATTCTCTCTGATAAAGTCAAACCACCTGGACCTGATAACGCCGAACCCAAGAAGAATGTTGGACCTGATAAAGGCAAGCCTGACAAAGACAGACCTGAAGATGTTGTGAAGGCCATTCTTGACTATTTCACAGAGAGAAAGTTGATTGAAGCTGTTGAAAACAAACGCAAAGTGGAGCCAAATAGCTATAAGATGACACCTTTTGTGCATTCTTCATTGGTTCTTATCTCCAAGGAGATAGGACTTTTTGATATGTATCGTAAAGGGGAGAAGCCAACCATGAAAAAATCAAACATGTACAAGGTATGCCTTGTGGAAGGGTCGTCAAGCCAGGCGGAAGCAAAAGCTAATAAAATGACGGCAGATGACATTGAAACAGTGATCAATGTTTCCGAGAGGTTCCCGGATTTCACATTCAAGTGGTTTTCGGAGGAGCAATCATCACAAAACAAAATGTTTCGCCGTCTTAAAAAAATTGTGTACCCAGAGCTCAAGGTTTTTTATTTGGGAAGATGGGAGAGAACCGCCAAGCGACACATCGAGATAGAGAATCCTGAGCATATGAAGTACTTGAAGCATATGACTAAACTCAGACTTCTGAGTTTCCAAGGGATCTCAAGAATTGAAAGACTCGACGATGCTGTCTGTAAGCTTCGTGAGTTGATCATCTTGGACCTCAGAGCTTGCTATAATCTGGAGAAACTTCCAGACAAGATAAATTTACTCGAGGAGCTGATCTACTTGGACATTACAGATTGCTACATGATAGATCGTATGCCCAAGAGGTTGTCTTGGCTCGTTAAGTTGGAGGTTCTCAAGGGATTTGTGGTTAGTGATGCTCATGAGGATACGGTCTGCACGCTGGCTGAGTTGCAAGCCTTGAGAAATCTCAGAAAGCTAAGCATTACAGTAAACAACGGGGACTTCACCGTAGAGCATCTGTTTCGGGCTATTACGGGTTTTGAAAATCTGGAAAAGTTGAAAGTGGCATGGGGAAGTATTATTACATACAAGAAAAACAAAGCTACTGGTGGGATGCAAGGAATGGTAGAAAGAGTGTTAACACGCGTTAATCCGCCCCCACTTCCCCCACCAGTACCAGAGCCTCCAAAGCTTCCCAAGTCATTGAGGAAACTGGATCTGCAATGTTTTCCTGATCCAGAACTTCCCAAATGGCTTGAGCCTGGAAAACTAGTTGGTCTGGAAAAACTCTACATTAAAGGAGGAACGGAACTTACTGGATTTGGAAAGGCATTACCTGATAAGCCAACCGAATGCAACGTCAAGGTTCTACGTCTGAAATTTCTTCCAAGGCTAAAAGTGGAGTGGAGGGATCTGAAGGAACTCTACTTTCCAAAACTGAAATTCTTGGATAAGTATCAATGCCCTCAAGTTAGTCTCTGCCCCTGCGATGGAATTGGAATCTGGCGCAGCCCCTGAAAAACATCAAGTCTAAACAACTCAGAACTGAAAGTTTCTTGATTTTCCTCTATTTTCCATTGATGTCTCTTGGTTGTTTTGCTTGCAACTGTTGTTGTTGTTTATGAACAGTTGAATAAAGGAGTTTGGTGTGTTTGCTTTGCTTATTCTGTGATACTTATGGTTTCTAAAGCTTCTTGCTATTTGATAAACAGGTCTCCTTCGTATGGTATAGATGACAATATTTCTTAAGCGATTTGGCGCATGGGTACAAACATCTCTTTGTTCAACTGAATCAGATGAAGAAATCACTGAAAATGCAGGTTCAAGTCATGATCTTGGTACTCTACCAAACTATCAATTGGCAAGAGATAAGAGTGAGGAGGAACATTGTACGTTCAACAAGGTTTGTTGATGAGAGTGAAGTAGCATTTGCTCTAATAGTGTCTGAGAGATGATGTTAAACATTGAAGAGCCTAGAGATTTTGCATAAGCAAATGGGAACAAGCCATGATAGAAGGAGATGGATTCTTTAGCAAAGAATGAGAAAGTGTCTTCTAAAGAAGTCTCTCTATGTTTGAC